CTGGGCACTTCAAAAGCTGCAGCAAGCACAAGAGATTGGCGGACATGTAGGTACTCTGAGAGAAAACGGTGCTCCTCGCAGCGCACCGCCATGTCCATCCCAAGTCCCTGAACCCCGTATTCTCTAAACCCGACCAAAGCCCTAAACCACAAACACCCTCAACCCTCTTGAAGGGTCTTCGCCGCCTTTGGCTGCTGAAACAGTGTCACGTGATAGGCACCACATTTAAGCTTCAGTTGGCTTGGAAACGGCACTTCTTGACACAACATGCACGGGACCCTGCGCCCACCTCCAAACTTTGCTCTGCAGCCATCAATGCTGCAGTCCTTGGCATTTGCGCGGGCTCACGTCATACTCACAGAGATGCAACTCTTTTGGGGTTTAAACTTTGAGGGTTTAGGGTTAAAGGTTTACTTGTTGTTTTGCATGTTGTTGGCTTTAGTGAGGCTTTTACAGGATTTTTTTGGCAGCTTTTAGTGTTTTGGGGTTTAGGATGTCCAACGGAGACTTGTCTCTATGACCTGAAACAGCAGAAAGTAGTAACACGCCAAGAGGCCTGAGGAGAAGCGGCCAGCAGAGCGTGTGTACACCTGTGACATTATTGGGCTGGCGAGGGGGCGGCGTTAGACCTCACTGGGCTTGGCCAAGAGCTGGTTCAAGAAGACATTTGCAAACCGCAGTCGCCAAAATGGAGGAGTCAGGGCGTAGTCCATCCGTGAGATTTCAGCGTTTGCACATGGCATTCGTGGGGCGGCAGTTGCGCTGGTCTCGTCCATGCGCGCAGGGGCGGGCTCGCAGGGTTGGAGTTTCAAGTCATGCCTGATTGCAACGCCTGGGAAAGCTGCACCCTCACCCCAAGAAAGGCCTTGGTCGAGGCTGGGGTGGTTGGGGGTTGGTTGGGGGTGCCATATAAGACGGTAAGGTCGTAGTCAGCCAAGGAAGCAAACCGGCGCTGAACATGTGTGGCATTGGGGCGTCTTTCGTCCATATCACCAGCTTGCATTGCTTTGCAACAGATAGAAACACCAATACCAAAGTAGAGATATGCATACATAGCACGGGCTTGAGGACCTCAAGTATGTATGTACACGACATACCAAGTATACCAGGGCGCGGCGACCGCTGGTCCCTGGCATACCAATGTGTACCCAAAATATGGACATATATGCCACACGCACATGTGTACGGCCCCTGTCGCAGAAGCAGCTGCGTGGAAGTACGCACTTCTAAATTTGGCAAGCCAGCTCGAGTTGTGGACCGCCGCATCTGAGTGTTGGGCTGTGGAGGAGCACGGGTTCCATCTGCACCAGCATGCGCAGCAGCAACACGAATGCCTGAGAGGAAGTGTTTATTTCCACAAGATCTGCAAGTAAGCAGGAGAAAAGATGTGAGCAAGTGATGGCCTGTGGCACCCAGTGCATCCGGACCCATTTTGCTCCCAGAAACAAAACTGCGACAAAGCAAGCGTGAGCTGTATGTACGTGCGACCCGAAGAAACCAGCAAAACCTCAAGCCTTCGAGGCGGGACATCCAGTCAGCGTCCACGTTGTCTTTGATGGTTTGCTTTTTGTCCTTCTTCTTCTTCTTGTCCATCTTCTCGGTTTTCTTGTTTTTGTGTTTCTTCTCATTCTTTTCCTCCTTTTTGCGATGTGGCAGCAACTGCAATGGCCACTGACAGTGGAGCGTAGCGGGGGGCCCAAACTCAGGGACTGTCCCGCTTCCTGGCCGGAAGTGCAAAGCTCTGGCCCTGCAGCAGAAGCTGTACGGTGGATCAGACATGGCCCGATGAAACTCAAACTGGAAATACGTAGCCGATACAAACCATTGTCCAGTGTCATATACAGCCGACGCGTACCAGCAGCCAATATATATATATATATATATACAATGTGTAGGTAGGATTTGATCCGCTGCAAATATACAAGCAAGCCACGTGTGCATCTGCGAAGCTGTAAATGCAAGCACTTCAGACCACCTTCGCAGCCATATGCTCCGGGCCTCGCATCGGTGGCACTTGTCCTGCACGTGCAAGGGTTTGGCGGGCACCATCGTGACCCATGCAATCAACAATTGCTAACAGTATGGTACCAGCAGCGCAAGCAGGATTTTTGTTTCACCTCATATATGGCCAGCTTCGAAGATCAGCGTCCGAACGTGTACCACGCAAGCATCTCGCTCTCGGGCGTGGAGGTCACACGGGAAGCGCTGCTGCTCGCGCTGCTGTCGCTGCTGCTGCTGCTGCTGCTGCTGCTGCTGCTGCTGCTGCTGCTGCTGCTGCTGCTGCTGCTGCTGCTGCTGCTGCTGCTGCTGTCGCTGCTGTCGCTGCTGCTGCTGTCGCTGCTGCTGCTTCTCGACCTGCTCTTCATGTTGCTGACGCTGCTTCCACGGCCAAACTGCGGCGTTCGGATCACCGGCACGTATCTCCTGACCACCACTTCTCTGCAAGGGTTTCAGTTTGACATTCATTTACAAGCTGGGCACATCAACTGTGAGTTCTTTTAGCCGAGTTTCGCGGCTCCGGCGCCAAGCAGGGCGTTGGTGCATATGTCACATATGTACCTTGGACTGTTTGGAGGTGCCAGAGTAAGCAATATGTGCATGAGTCGAGGTTCTCGCGAGAAAGGACTGTGTATAATTATAAGCCAAGTTTCTAGAGCTCGCCAGGTCAGGAAGACGCGTGCCTTAAGTGTGAAGACAGTGTGAGGCTTAGGGTTTGGGATTTGGTTTTCGGTCAGGATGCAACGAACCCTCGCTTTTTGGTGCACGTATATGTATTTTGAGACGCTGGTTATTGGTGGCTCGCCTTTAAATTCGGTCGAGTCGCTTGCAGGGCCGGCACTCATCGTTTCCATCGGCGTGGGCGTGGAGCCTTGGACGCAAACGAACCCTCGTTTTGCAGTGATTTGAGACGCTGGTTAGTGGCTCGCCTTTCGGTCGAGTCGCTTGCAGGGCCGGCACTCATCGTTTCCATCGGCATGGAGCCTTGGACGCAAAAGAACCCTCGTTTTATGGCGCACGTCTCCGTGGCTCACCTTTCGGTCGAGTCACTTGCCGGGCCAGCACTCATCGTTGCCATCGGCATGGAGCCTTGGATGCAGAAGAACCCTCGTTTTTTGGCGCACGTCTCCGTGGGTTAACCCTTAAGCCCCAAACCCCAAAACCCCAAAACCCCATACTCCACCTCCCCAAAACCCTAAACCCTAACAACCCTAACCCTAAACCCCAAACCCTAAACCCTAAACCCAAACCCTAAACCCTAACCCCCAAACCCTAACCCCCAAAGCCTAATCCCTTGGCTAGGTCTACGTCAACGAAGGAACCGACCCGGGTCGAGCCACTTGCCGGGCCGGCACTCATGGTTTCCATCGGCGTGGAGCCTTGGATCAACGAACCCTCGTTTTTTGGCGCACTGGTCATTAGTGCTCGCCTTTCGGTCGAGTCGCTTGCAGGGCCGGCGCTCATGGTTTCCATCGGCGTGGAGCCTTGGATGCAACGAATGGTTAACCCTCGTTTTTGGTGAACGTTTCTGTATGAGACAGCACGTTGAGGACAAATTGCACTGGCCAAGTCACGTCCAGGCGGGCTCGGCGTGCCACGATGAAGGGCTGGGCCACCTTAATTGTTTAAAAGGGGTGCCCCAGTGCCCCAATGAACAAAGCCAAGTCACTCCCATACATGTCCGGAAAATGCCCAGGGAGGGTAGCTTTGGACTGCCTTATATATAATTGCGCCTGTGAGATGCACCATGGTTATTGGGCATAAATAATTGGAGCTGAGTTTATCGGGCTTAAGGCCTTGGGGCCACATGTGCCTTTCGGTCGAGTCGCTTGGGCTTGGGCAAAAGTTAACACCCTAAACCCGAAACCCTAAACCCTAAACCCTAAACCCTAGATCCTCAACCCCAAACCCTAAACCCTAAACCCTAGACCCTAAACCCTAACTCCCACCTACCACGCTTGTCCAATTTGCCAAGGGTGTGTTCGGGTTCTCCTGCCCAGCGCCTTATATATTATATAGGGTTTGGGGTCATTTGGAGCCAGACAGCCATTGCGCCCGGCCCGCCCACCGGGGCGAATCTCCCGCGCCGGCTGCGGCGCGTAGCCCGGCCCATGGTGTCGAGGCCTCTTGTTAGACTAGTGAGGGCGGCGAAAACCCGACGTGGCCTCTTAGAAGACGACACTAGCTGCTGCATTGCAGTGTACACAGTGTGCATGCGTGGCAATATAAGAACACGCCAACCTCGATCACGCAGCCCGTCACTCGAGCCCAGCTGCAGATCGATGATGTAAGATGAGCACGCAGGTGTGACAGCATGCTTGTGCAGTCACACGATTATACGGTCCTTGTACCAATTGTCGCCGGTTCGAAGTCATGGGCCGAGGATCCTATCCCCCTATTAATCCCGAGCCAAATCCAAGCACACGACGCCCAATCGACATGCAAGCAAGTGCAACCGACCAAGTCACCATGCTGCAAGCTGTACACACAAGCAATGAGTGCGCCGACCAACAATGTTGCATGCCAAGCAGTATACAAGTCACCACATGGCAACCCAAGCAATACCGACACGCAAGCCAGCCACGCCACCCAACAACTAACGCAAGCCGACCGTAGCAAATGGCGACGGCAAGCCAACGCGCCAACCAAGTTCAGCCCGCTGAGAGCCGCCAGCAACGTTTAAACATGGATCAAGTCAGCAAGGGCAAGTTAGCGTCCAGCCGAGCGTCCAACCAAGCGTCCAACCAAGCATCCAACCAAGCATCCAACCAACCAAGCAACCAACCAACCCACAAGTCAGCAAGGGCAAGTTAGCGTCCAAGCATCCAACCAAGCATTCAACCAACCAAGCAACCAACCAACCCACCAACACAAAGACGATAACAAGCCGTGACCGGACTGCGACAACAATCCCAAGAAACATCCCGGGACGTTCCTTTTGGGGCCACCTGACAAAAAACAACCCAGACCCCAAAGAAACCCAAGGACGTTTAAAAAACAACCTAGGCATCTCCAGGAACAGGACGTTTTAGGGGATCCCCGGAAAGCGAGCCTTTTACAAACCAAATGTGTCTGGCCGGGCGGCAAGTCACCAGCAGCAAACGCAAGCTGTCTGGCGTTGGCCTATGTGCTGCGGCCAACTCCACGGCCTTTGGCCACCCGCAGTGCAGGGCATCCGGGCATCCCGCAGGATGACGGGCACTCTGCACAAGGCACTTCAGGTTGCCGTCACAGACCTTCCACCCTTTGGAGTCGGCCTTTCGCGCGTACTCTTTGAGTTCAGCCGCTGCCTTTGCCTCGAAGCTAGCCCTCGAGCCCGTCTGCGCGATCTTCGTAATCGCCCTGTTTCGAGCGCCCCAAACCGGGAAGTCTATACTCTTCACATTGCGCGCTTTTTCACGCCAGATAGACAAATTTATGCAAGCGGCGCGACAAACCGAGAACGAAATCTCTCGACTGCCCCGGTTTCGAGCCCCCCAAACCGGGAAGTCTGGGACACCATCTTTCTCGGACTCGGTCATCTTTCTCGGACTCTGGTCTTCTTTTCATGATGCCAAGACAAGCAAAACATAGTCCAGAGGCACCCCCCAAAAAAACAAAGCAAAAACAAACCTTGCCCAACGCAACGCCACTCCTCCGGAAACTGTGTGTCTGTGCGTTGTTTACCCACAACGAATGCGGCCCAGACTCGGCGCTCTGCCAGACTGTGCTGTCAGCTTGCTCTCCACGCTGGTCCTGCTCGGGACAAGACCAGGCTGCAGAACACGCTAGCATGACTCTGGACGCGCATAGCAGGTTGTGTCTGCAATGGCCGGCCAACGTAAGGGTGTGGCAGTCACAGATATGATGGATCATGCCGATGTTGCCTTGCGAACGCAGCTTGACGCCCAGACGATACGCGTACCGGATGTTGGCAGAGTGGCCATCTGAAGTCAAAGACAGCAAGACGAGGTCGTGCTTCTGGTCCAACGCCCGGACTCCTTCCACGCTGAGACTTGTGAATGCCCGGTCCAAGCCAGCTGCAATGCATTCTGCTGTATTTCGCTCAAGGAAGCGCAGCTGGCTGATGCAGTGCAGTGCACTGACGGTTGCTGTCGTGAGTCGAGCATTGCCTGTCACGACACCTACGGACCCTCTGCACCTTTTGCCTATCTTGGCAGCAATGACGCCCTTCTCCGCCTCTGTCAGCGGTCTCCTGTCGCAACTTCTTGAGGGACCACTCCAGTAGTTCGTGCGAGGAAGGCCCAGAGATTGTAAATCCCGCAACCCCCCCCTGGTTCAAAACCAAAAGAGTTATAAGTTGTGGAGGGCTCCGGCGTCTTTCCAACAACTGGTTTTTCAGGGGTTTAGCAAATGGTCCGTTTTCAGAGGAAAAACTTTTTGAGACCCCAGAAACAGGGTGCAAAAATGCAAAAGCCAAGCTTCCCAAATTGGATTCTAGAACTCAATGTTTGTTTCCCGGGCACTGCTATTTTGGGGCTGGGCCAAACTATGCTTTTGAAGAGCAAACAGCACTGAAAACGCCAGAAACAGGGCGCGAAAAATGAAGTAGAACATATGAACATGTTGTGTATTCCGTTCCCTGTAACTAAGACTTAGAGTTCCGAAGCCCGAGGTTTCGCTTCTCTCACTGACTCGCTCTCTCACGGTTTAGGGTTTAGGGCTTAGGGCTGGACCTTGATGAAGGCAGGGGCCTGGAGAAGCAGCGATGTGCCTGGTGGAAATTGTGGAAACTAACACACCCTCCGCCCCGCGCAGCGGAAATTTTTTTGAGGCCGGAGTGGTCAGGACAAAAAACATTCCCCTGGGCCGAATCGAACCTCTGCCCCGCGCAGCGGGGATTTTTTTTGGCATATGTATTACGTCCATCTGCCCCGCGCAGCGGATCTTTTCTTTTTGGGAGTATCCCCCCTCCGCCCCGCGCAGCGGAGATTTTTTATCGCAGCGGACTTTCTTGTTCTGGGCATATCCTCCCTCTGCCCCGCTGAGCAGATTTTTTACGAAAAAAGTTATAATCCCGGGAAAAAATTATAATCCCGGGAAAAAATTATAACCCCGGGAAAAAATTATAACCCCGGGAAAAAATTATAATCCCGGGGAAAAAATTATAACCCCGGGAAAAAATTATAATCCCGGGGAAAAAATTATAACCCCGGGAAAAAATTATAATCCCGGGAGAAAAAACTATAATCCCGGGAAAAAATTATAATCCCGGAAAAAAATTATAATCCCGAAAAAAAATTATGACCCCGGCGAAGTTCGAACTCAAAAGATTTATAATTTATGTTCCCGGAAGTCGCGCCTCAAAATGAGGGCGAACAAGCCAAGATCCAGGGCTTTGCCCAGAAAACCGACGCTATTTCCGGGAATTTTCGGAAAAATTGCGTCGGTTTTCTGGGCAAAACCCTGGATTTTGGCTTGTTCGCCCTCATTTTGAGGCGCGACTTCCGGGAACATAAATTATAAATCTTTTGAGTTCGAACTTCGCCGGGGTCATATTTTTTTTTTTCGGGATTATAATTTTTTTCCGGGATTATAATTTTTTCCCGGGATTATAGTTTTTTCTCCCGGGATTATAATTTTTTCCCGGGGTTATAATTTTTTCTCCGGGATTATAATTTTTTCCCGGGATTATAGTTTTTTCCCGGGATTATAGTTTTTTCCCGGGATCATATTTTTTCCGTGATTATCATTTTTTCTGCCCAACCGAGGGGCCCGGGCAGGGTTTGGGGGGGGTTTAGGCTTAGGGTTTCAGACTCCTCCTTGTTGACTTCTTGTTCTTTTCGGGGCGCCCCCGGGATGGGCAGGTTGGGAAGGGTGAGGGCCGAGGGCCGGGGAGGGCTTGAAGCAAGGAGCTTTGTCAATCTTTTCATTTTGTCGCACTATGTTCTTCCTTTCCTCCCACAGCTGCATGCCAGGTTATGCTTGGAGCTGCGCGGGATAGGCCATAATTTTTTCCCCCGCTGCGCGGGGCAGTGGGGAGGATGTATTCCCATAAAAATTTCCGCTGCGCGGGGCAGAAGGAAGATATGCCCATTAAAAAAAGCGGGGCAGAGTGAGGATATATGCTGTTTTGGCGCGCGATCTCCTTGTTGGGTTTACTCATTTTGGATCTTGTTTTGCAAATCCTAGATTGGAACAGCCAAGTTTCGTACGTCATTTTTGTGGCAGTCGTGTTGTTTTGTGTTGTTTTCACATGGACAAGGGAGCGGGTGACAGCCAACTGTTCGTTGCCTGTGATCTCTATTTTGCATTTACTCATTTTGGTGTTTGTTTTGCAAAACCTAAACTGGAAAACCAAGTTTCAGACGTCATTTGTGGCTGTCGCGTGGGCTTGCTTTTAAAAGTCGACAGCGACGCAAACTGCCTTTGCTCAAGTGGCCAGCACTTTTGGAGGGGATGCCTTTTTTCCATGATTTTGGTTTGCGCTTGGAGGCTTTCAGAACTTATAAATCTTTTGGTTTTGAACTTTTTGCCCAAAACCCGGGGTTGCGAGATTTACAACCCAGAGACGCGCAAATACATCTGAGTTTCGTCCCAGTCCCTGGCGATGGCTACGCACGGCGCCGTGTCTGGACACAACGCAGACAGCTGCCCCTGCACATGCCATCCATGCTACGAGACAGCGCGTGAGCGACCAATGCCTTGCAATTCAAGTGAACCCCAGAGGACGTGCTGCTCACGCTGCCCTTGCCATATGGCTGGAAAGCCAGGCGACGACAGCCGCGCACAGAGATGCCATTCTTCACCGCACACGCTTCTTCTGCACGCGCGCCTGACAATATCAGGGTCTTGGACCTACCAGAGAAGGCAGGCTGTTTGGGAGAGGCCTTTACGAGGCATAAGTTAAGAACTTGTGCCAGTGGCCCTCAAACCGACGGACTCAATGGAAACGAGCAGCTACTGACACATATACAGGTCCGTTGGCGGAAGCCTCTCGTGCTGTGCCCACACCCCGCCCCGTAAAAAGGAAGCATCTATAATTTGCATCTGCTGTTTACACACAAAGACACAGCGCACCTTACATGGGTTCAGGCCCCAAACTTGCGGAGTATTAGTGGGCAAGAGTCGATCCTGCTCGTGCCGAGGTCGGGACTTTAGGAGTCAGGCTGTTCAGGGAGACCGAGTTCGGGGCGTTAGGATTAATCAGGCTGTTTAGGAACCCTATCTGTCGCAGCGAGCATGGTGCATCATCTGGCCGAGCCATCCCAAAACTTTACCATCGACACGGGGATATTTCATATCCGTCCGTGGCGTGGAGGTTTGGGGCCTGAGGCCGTAAAGCAAGTGGCCCCCAGCAAGCGTCGTGGGGGGGGCGGACAAAGGCGGGGGGGCCGGACTAGGGCCAAGCCGGAATGTTTCAACCTTCCGCCGCACGGCGCTAGGAGGGTACTTACAGGCGAAGCTGGCTGGAGGAGCCGCTTCCTTCCCTACAAGGTTGATTTACATTCCGACTTATGAAGGTGAATTGTTTTTCTCTCACGCTCCTCGTCCGCGCAAAGAACACCCCCCCCTCACCCTTTCTGCCCTGCGTGGCCGGGGTGGGGTAGGATGGGGGGCAAGGGTTGGGGTGATGGCTGTTGGGGATGAGAAGGGGTGGGGGAGGTGGGAAGTTTCCAGATTACGCCCTGCTGCATTGCGCGCCCATGCTGGAGCAATCCTGCTGCAAAGACTGTACATGTTATGTGGGCCTCGTGGCCCAGACCCATGCACCTAAGCCCGCCCACATTCTGGTTCATGAATTGGGCACAAAGGCATTGTCGAATCTGCTTCAGAAAATTTTTTTCGAGGATGACTTGACTCGACTCTGTAACCATCGCATCCTGTTTCCTATTTTAGCAGCTGTCCCGCCCCCCCCCCCCCTTTTTTTGTAAAGATAATCCCACCCCCCTCCCACTTTTGCATGCTGAGCCACGTCTTCCAGACAAGCGTCCATCTGGCCCAGCTGCTGGAGGCACAGCCCTCTGCACAGCATTCTGAATGGCCGCCGCAACGTCGCCGTCGTCATCAGACTCTGGTGGCTGCAAAGCTGCAAGCAGAGCATCTCCATCGTCATCAGGCAACTCCATTCTACGTTCTAAACTACAGCTCTGAATTTGACGCATTGCTATAGAAGCGCCCTGTGCCACGCTTAAACTACCGGGAGCCTGGAAACCAATCGTTCTGGAAACATTGTCGCCGCAAAGCAGAGAATCCTGCACTGCACGGCTTTGAGGGTGAAACTGGCTGCAGAAAGATAGCTTGTGGCAACAGTCTGATTTCAGAGCACGATTTATTGGAACTCATGCCCCTGCACCTGAACCAATAGCCCAAGACATTAGAAGTGCAGCCACCAGATTGAAAAACCGCAGCCCCTTGTTGCTTTAGTAGGCATATGCTCTGCATGGATTTGTCGCGACTTGGAAGGCGCTGCAAATTGTTGGATACGAAGCGACGCAACGATTCTAATTGCTCTGTGTACTGTTGCAGAGATGCAACACATCAGATCACTCCTGAAAACCCCTGATTGAACTAAATTGCA